TTTTTTTTTTTTTTTTTTTTTTTTTTTTTTTTTTTTTTTTTTTTTTTTTTTTTTTTTTGGTAAATTTGGGGAATTGTTCTTTGGAGTTCAGGGTGTTTTAAATGACTGATGGCAGTGGTGAGTGAACTGACATAGAAGCAGCACTTGGCCTGCATGTAGCAGGCGCTTCATTAAAATGTGGGCTGCTACAGGAAGTGATCATTATTTCTCGTCTTCCGCTTCTACTCCTCAAGCTGTAAAATGGAGGAAACTCGGACTCTAATCGATCTCTCCTTGCCCTGAAAATTTCAGTCCTGAACCAGTCTTCAGAGCTCATCTATGAAAGGGTACCGGGGATAAAGACGTCACTGCCTCACACCTCATCCGCACGGGGTTGCAGACCTGGAAAGCTGCACGTGGAGCAACCATGAGGATTACCGCTCCGCTGACAGGTGAGGGGGTTTTCGGCATGGGACTGTCCCACCACATGAGACAGGGGCGAAAGAGAATCGTCGGGGGGAAGGGCCGGGGGGAGGAGCTGCGATGCCCCCGCCCCCCTCGCTTCCGAAACACCAACCCGAACAGCCTAGGACCCACCCAGCTCCACCCCAGCCGTGGAGTTTGGAGAGGTGGGGCTGCGAGCGGTCTTCCCTCGCTGCGGACATCCCCGTAGGGCCGCGTTCTCTGAACTCCCGTGAAGCATGACCACTGACTCAACCACGAGACTCGGGCTCAACTCCACCTCTTTTTCCTCTAATCCCTGCAACCAGACAGCCTGTTCCCCAGCGCTCTGCTTTCCTCAACACGTATGTGATCTGGTATATTCCTGTGGAGCTTCTTTGAGCATTTCTGTCTGCATCACTCCCCAAAAAGGCTACCAGGTTTTACTCACCATGATACCTCCCCAGAGAGGGTACCACAAGGTTACACAGATGGGCATGTAGACGTCCTTGTGGATCAGCATGAGGCTTCCCAGGGCAATGTGGAACAGCCCGTTCATAATCTGGACAGCCTGCGGGGAGGAGAGGGGCGCTGATGGTGGAACTGAAATTGTCATCCAGTCAGGAAGCAGGAGGGGGGCCTGGAAGCCCTGGCTCCTGAGCGGACGGGCTGTGTGACATGTCCAGAGCAAGCGTTGAAGGGCCCAAGACCTTTGTCATCTTCAGATTCATTTTCCCCACCACCCCAGCATTTCCACAGCAGGTGTACTGGGATACTCGTGATGAATTGGGATGGAGGCCCCTAACTGTGCAAATCTCAGGATCACGGCAGGGCAGCATAAGATCACCACAGAAATCTCTGTGCATCCCTGGTTTGAACCCCTGTGTCAGACGTAAAGAACACCTCCTGTTGGATCAAATACCTTCAAGTCAGGTTGAATCCTGTGCCTGGCCCGTAGTAGCTGCTTCTGCAGGCCAGACAGTCCCTAGGATGTGGAATGCGGGGTGACTGACTTACCCCCAGAGCCTTCGCTTCCCTCATGAAGAAGCTCTGTGTGGGGCCCACCACTGCAGGCACCCTCCTGGGAATCACTTTCTGAGCAGCATGCATGGCAGTGGGACCTTCCGCTGGGAAAGCTCCAACCATTGAATTCCTGGGTGTCGTCATTTTGCCCTCAGACTCCTGGAGATAAATAATAAAATGGGAGGAAGCAGGATTGTCAGCCAACTTCGTCTTGTCGTGAATCTGAATGGTTTCCTCTGTGGTCTCTGCACAGGTGTCCCTGAGAGCAGTCAGGGCCTCTTCCTACTGGCTCTGGATCCAAGGCCAGGCCTCCTTCCACATTCTGAGACAGGGTCTGGGGGAGCATCTCGGACAAGGTATGAGAAGTGGAGTATTGCCTGCCTGATCAGTAATCGAGGATGTCAGAGTCATCAGTGACTCTGGCCCTGCAGTGTGAGTTTCTGAGCCCTAAGGGCACCCATTAAAAGACACTTGCTCCTTGGAAGAAAAGTTATGACCAACCTAGACAGCATACTAAAAAGCAGAGACATTACTTTGCCAACAAAGGTCCATCTAGTCAAGGCTATGGTTTTTCCAGTAGTCATGTATGGATGTGAGAGTTGGACTATAAAGAAAGCTGAGCGCCGAAGAATTGATGCTTTTGAACTGTGGTGTTGGAGAAGACTCTTGAGAGTCCCTTGGACTGCAAGGAGATCCAACCAGTCCATCCTAAAGGAAACCCGTCCTGAATATTCATTGGAAGGACTAATGCTGAAGCTGAAACTCCAATAGTTTGACCACCTGATGTGAAAAGCTAACTCACTGGAAAGACCCTGATGCTGGGAAAGACTGAGGGCAGGAGGAGAAAGGGATGACAGAGGATGAGATGGTTGGATGGCATCACCAATTCGACGGGCATGAGTTTGAGCAAGCTGCAGGAAATGGTGAAGGACAGGGAGGCCTGGTGTGCTGCAGTCCATGGGATCAGACACGACTCAGTGACTGAACAACAACATGAAAGGACTGATTTCCATGAGGCCAGACTCTTACATCTTCCCATACATAGAAAGCACTAAATTCCCTAACTTGGAATGTCTGCTTTCCTTTAGTTAACAGGAGCATCTTGGTGTTCAGGCTCCCTGCCCTTTGTTTCACACCTGAATGACCTGGCGCCTTCCCTCAGCTCCGCAGAGCCGCTCTTCCAGGACTCCTTGAGACGCTGCCTCTTGGCCTTAAGTCCTAAAACTTTCTGCCAAATAAAAGGAGATTCTCAACTTTTAGGTTGTGACTGTTCTTTGAACGTACAGGTGTCTGGCTCAGGGGTCCCTGCCAGTATTCTCGACAACCACAGCAGGGACATGGTTTTTCGTTGTGGAGAAGGTTATGCTCATTAATTCGTGAGTTCTGTGTGCCTGTCAGCCTTGGATGCTTTTCTCGTGCTTTAATATTAGCGGATTTCTCACGGGCTTGTCCTTGCCCCTTTGCTTACCTGCTTTTGTCCATGGTGGCGGGCCAGAGTCGCTGTGGTGGGGGACGGGGAAGACTGGCCTGCAGTCAGGAGGGGCCGGCACAGCCTCCCCCGCTCCGAGGACAGGAGCAGCCTTGAGCACATCACCCCAGGAAGGCTCCCGAAGGCTCTGTGTAAGACGGTGGCCTCCTGAGCCACACATCAGACTGCCTAGGTTCAGATCAGGATTTCCCTGTTTGCTGTGAAACTTTGGGCAAGTTCTTCAAATTCTCTGGGCCTCAAGTTCTTCAGCCATAAAACAGGGACAGTGATGATTCCTGTCTCATGCGGTTGCTGTAAGACTTAAATGGCCCAATGGCGTGGGTGCCTCAGCCGGGGCAGCTCAGACCTTGGCATCTCGAAGAAGCCTTCCCCGAGCCCTCAGCCCACAGTGCGGCCTCCTGATGAGTCTCCCACAGCACCTGCCTTTCTTTGCTTTGTGGTCACTCATTGTGAGTAATTACTGCATTTGCTTGCTTGTTTATCGTTTGTCTCTCCTTTCTAGAACACAAACCCCTTGCGTTTCTTCTTTACTATTCAGCATGCCTGGGACTTCCCCGGAGGTCTAGTGGCTAAGACTCCGCTCCCACTGCAGGGGGCCCGGGTCCCGTCTGTGATGAGCCACATGCCGCGACTAAGAGTTTGCAGGATGCCACCGGAGACCCTGCATGCTACAGTGAAGATGGAGGGGCCCCGTGCCACCCTCGAGACCTGGGGACAGTCAGACAAGTGAGTGAGTACTTTTAAAAGTAATGAAAGCGTGCCTGGATTTAGAAGTTTCTTCGTGACGGTAATTGAAGAAGTAAATGCAGGTAAAGCACCCATGTCTGAAGCGTTCGCTTCTTTTGTTCTTGTTCCTATTTGTAACATGCTTTCCTTTAGGAGCATTCGCTTCTATTTTTTTCCATCTGAAAAATGAGACCAATACACCTTTCACAGGCAGGATGTGATAAATAAGTTAACGTAAGTGAAAATGCCCCATACACAGGGAGAAAGTAAATGTGGTTTGATCTCTGGATTCTGAACAGAAATGTCCCTTCCAGTTCTGACATTTTAAGACCATTCTGCCTTCTTCATCGTGTGATCCCCTTCGGTATTCATTTCTGTGTGTCAGTTACTGGCATGAATTCCACAGAGCCTTTCCTGGGCCCTGGAAATCTTCCTTTAGGGACACACAATTCGTGTTGTCCTCATTGACTGAGTCACGTAAGCGGCCTTGGAGGCCAAGGCCGTGCATCCTGCTTGCTTACCTCCGGGCACCTGCGGGCCTGCTGAGGAGTGTCGGGAGCCTCCCAAGCCCTGTCTGTGCCCACTTCCCAGTGACAGCGGCATTCTGGGTCTGGCACCTCGTCGGAGCCTCAGGGAAGAGGGGTGAAGCATTGCCTCTCGTGTGTGGAAGTGGTAGCAAGGACACACAGAAGTTAGTAACTTGTTCCAAGTCACACGGCCATCAGAGACTTAAAATGAGGGCCCGGCAGAAAGAGAGGCATAATTACAGAGAGCAAACATACGAATCACCACGGTGGGGAAGCGCAGAGGGACGAGTTGGGAGATTGGGGCTGACGTCTGTACACGCCGTGCGTGAAGTAGCTGATTGTGACAACCTGCTGCGTAGCTCAGGGAGCCTGGCTCAGCGCTCTCTGATGTAAACGGGAAGGAAATCCAATACGAGGGGGATGTATGTGTATCTAACAGCTGATTGACTTGGATGGACAGCACAGACTAACACAACACTTTAAAGCAACTACACTCCAATAAAAATGTTAGAAAATGAGGGCTAAGACCTAGCCAACACAGTATCTATGATACCAGGCTGCTTTGTCTCCCATGGGGAACAGGAATTTAGCCTTTCCTTTATGAATCTTTTCCTTCTATTCATATAAACGTATGATTTGGGTGATTATAAATCAGTTGAAAGTGGAACATCTGTCTGAGCCACGGCTGAAGGAAAGAGGAGAGTCTGTGGGTGCTTCAGAACTGGTGTTTGCCCCAGCTCTGGATTGCCAGATGCCAGGTGGTCTCAGGGACCTGCTTTCACCACAAACCGCCCCACAGGACCGCCAACAAAAGGCCATATATTAACACAGACTACCAAGGGAGTTTACAAAGTCATTTCTGGTCAGCAGGCGGGGTGATTAGCGCCAGTCAGAACCTCAGAAACCATTCTGTTCACTTGACAAATGAGGAAACTGTGGCCCAGGGATGGGGCATGCCTTGTTGGAGGCCCTGCACTGGGGATTTCCCTGCTGGTCCAGCGGTTACGACTCTGCACTTCCACTGCGGGGGGTGCAGGTTCGACCCTTTGGGGAACTAAGATCCCCCAGGCTGTGTGTGGTGCAGCCAAAAAACATGTTGGCGTACTCCCATAATTATATTTCTAGGGCTTTATTCCCATGAGTAATACAAGATGGACATATTTGCAAAAGAAAAACAGACCTTGCAGTTAGTGACAGAGCCAAACCCAGGGCTCCGAGGTTGGGGCCTTTTCTCTGGGCTGCAGGCTGGACCACACACAGGTGCTCACTGCGCACCCGCTCCGTCCAGGGGTAGTGTGCCTGGCTCCAGCTCCCCCACACCTGTCCTACTACGTGGGCATTCTGTCTTTCTGCAGGCATGGAAATGGGGGTTCTGAGGACTGAGTTAATCTCCCCACGGTAAAGCATGGACGGGCCTTCCCTGGTGGCTCAGCGGTAAAGAACCTGCCTGCCAACGCAGGAAGTGTGAGTTCGATCCCGCGGCGGGACGGTCCCCTGGAGAAGGAAATGGCAACCCACTCCAGGGCTCTTGCCTGGGAAATCTCATGACAGAGGAGCCTGGCGGGTCCACGGGGTCACAAAAGAATCAGACACGACTTAGCAACTGAACAGCAATAACAAGTATGGAATGAGCCGGGTTACCTTGCTTCTCTCCAGAGCCAAGGTCATCAATTAATGGACAGAAGGAGATGACTGGACTACGTTGTCTTAATTTCTCCTGATTTCTCAGCTGCTTAAGGTTATGCCTTTATCATTGGTGACATAAACCTTTTATGTAAACAAGTCCTGCTAGGGCTGTGTCAGCAATGACCAATGGCAGTAATGACCTTTGGAGGTGAATGTTTTATTTCTCTTAAAATGATGCCTCACTACAGCAAGTGTATTTCTACAAAATCTTCAACGCAAGTATTACTGTAAAATGGTAATTTATAATCACAGACATACTTGTTTCTCTATGCTATTTCATTTTTTCATGGAAATATCTATATATACACCACAGAAGCCATATATACACACACACACACACACACACACACACACACATATATATATATATCACCTATAAATATATATATATATATAGGCTTCTCTGGTGTATATATATGTATGTATAAAATATATATATATATTTATAGCAGGTTATTTGGACTGAGTAATGAAAGATTTTATTCATTTTTTTCTATGGGGATATATGAACTAGACCACACTCTCATCAGAATATTGTAGATTCCTGCAGACTTAGCCTATATGTTTTTTTTCTTTCATTGCTCACAGTGACTTTTTGTCCCCACCGGCGTGTTTTCCCACACACAGTTAGGCTCCGAGACTAGTGGGTACACTTGGTAGCAGTTACTGATCACACTGGTCAAAATGCGGTCATAAGAGGATTTTATTTTCTCTGAACTATACTGAAAGCAGGACTCCGTTGATCAGACCCTGCCCTGTTTTATTACAGCAACTTCTGCAAATCTTTTTGGGTTTGTGAACGGCACCCACACTGTTTTCGTGTCCATCTACTGAAGACGATCTCACAGCCTTTATGGGTTTTGGTTTGAATCATGACTTTTGGGTCCAGTAATCCCATCACTTACTCAGAAGCTCAAAGCCGCGCGGCCCTTGCCACCTCAACTTCCCCCTCTGCCACGGGAAACAGTTTTGCATTTTACCCTCGCGGCCGCCGGCGTGCCTATCTCTGAGGAAGCGTGGTCTCACTGCCCTTCCCTCTGCCGGTGCCCCCAGCCCGCCTCCTTTCACTGAGGTGTTAGCGCTTCAGAGACCTGCTCTCGCATCTCTGGCCCTTGTTCTGTGTGTGGAGCATAAGGCGGGAAGAGCTCTGCCGTTTCAGTGCCCGGCTCTGTTGCTTGCTACCTTGGTGATCTGATCTCTCCAGCCAAAGTCTTACTTTGAGAACATGGGATAATTTCAACTTAAGATGCCCAAAGAATTGAAAAAACACAACACAGGTTCCGGTGACAGTTAAGCCTTAAATCTTTTTAAATGGAAGGGTAACTGCGTCGCCACCCCGCCCCCTTGAACCTCCGTCCCGCGGTCCGCGGCAGCCTCGCGCTAGCTGTCCGCCCTGCTTCACACACGGCCGCGTGTGCGCGTCGGTGCTGCCACCTGTGCCCTCTCCGCCTCTCCTCCCCCGCGGCGTCCACAACGCTTAGAACGGAAGGAGGAGCCTCTGCTGCGATCAGCAGGTGCGGCAGTGCCCCTCAACCCCAAGGCCCCCTCCTCTACCCGGGCCTGCCCCAGCCACTTCCCAGCCCCCCGTCCTGCGCCCCCCGCATCTCAAGCGCTTCCTGTCTCCCTCCACTTCCTCGCCACCCACTTACTCCTCGACACTCGGCGGCTAGTTCCTGCGGAGCCACTCAGCTGAAGCTGCTCTTTTCAAGGCCTGTGCTGCAGGGATTTCCCTGGAGGCCCAGTGGTTTACGACCCTGCGCTTCCACTGCAGGGGCCACGGGTTCCACCCCTGGTCTGGGAACTATGATCCTGCGTGTCACTGTGATCCTGCATGTCACTGTGGTCCTGCATGCCAGGAGCTGGGGGCGAGACAGCTCCAAGAGATAAAGACTGTGCCGTCGAGCCAGGCACCAGCCCTCAGACAGCTGCACGTCCGCATCCCTGCCACCCCAGCTTGGAAAGCTGCAGCCACATTCCTCTCCAGTTCTTTCATCTCCACATGGGACCAGTGGCCAAGTCCTGCTGTTTCTACCTCTGTAAGGGATCTTAGTTTGCAGGTGGACTTTTTTTTTCTTTTTTTTTATACTGCCAGTGTCACCCCATGAGTGAGATTCTCATTTCCTCTCCTGGTCTAGCACAAAAACCTTACTTTTCTGACTTCATCTCTCTCTTTCCTAATCCATCCTCTGCGAGGCTAGTAGATCAGGCTCTCTAAATCCCTGCTGAAGTTATACTTCTTCCTGAACTCAAACTCATCTCTGATCCGTCATCGCTTGCTGGAGAAACCATCCACGTGGCTGCTCACAGACTCTACATGACTTTTTCTTTTTACAGTTTCAGACTTTGCTTTATTCTAAGAGTTTAGGCTTAAGAAGCATAGCCCATCTCTTGGTTTTCAGAAACACTGGTGGTCTCAACATGGTTTCTCAAGCGCACGTCCCTCCACTGCCCACAAAGCCACTGGTCTGGACACATCTCCTGCCTCCCAGGCGGCACTAGTGGTAAAAAAATCCGCCTGCCGATTCAGGAGACACAAGAGACCTGGGTTCAGTCTCTGGGAAGGGAAGAGCCCCTGGAGGAGGGCGTGGCAACCCACTCCAGTGTCCTTGCCTGGAGAATCCCGTGGACACAGGAGCCTGGCGGGCTTCAGCTCAGGGGGCCCCGAAAGAGCCAGGCACGACTGAGCACACACATGGAAGGCTCTTCCCGGCCAGGAGTTCTTTACACCCCCAGCTCTTTGCGTTCCTTACTTGTCAACAAAAGTCATCTTTCCCATGTCATACTGTT